GAGTCCCCTGGACTGCAAGGAGAACAAACCTATCAATTCTAAAGGAAATCAACCCTGAGTGCTCACTGGAAGGACAGATCCTGAAGCTGAAGCTCCAATACTTTGGCCATCTCATGAGAAGAGAGGACTCCCTGGAAAAGACCTTAATGTTGGGAAAGTGTGAAAGCAAGAGGAGAAGGGGACGACACAGGATGAGATGGTTGGACAGTGTCACCGAAGCAACCAACATGAATCTGACCCAACTCCGGGAGGCAGTGGAACATAGGAGGGCCTGGTGTGCTCTGGTCCATGGGGTCACGAAGAGTCAGACACGACTAAACGAACAAATGTTTATGGTACCTAGTTCCCAGTAAGTATTTTAAATAATGCCATTTCATATGGAAAGCAAGTTGTAAAGACATTTAGGAAGCTGAAAGCAGAGGGAAAGTAAACTAAACAACTAAACAATGATTACTGATACAACGCAAGAGCCAGTGTGGTATAGTGATCAGAATGTTGGACTGGCCAAATTCACATCCTCAATGAGCCATGAAAATGTCCTGTGTAACCTTGGTCCAAGCACTGTCAAGGAAAAACTGTATCAGAGAAAAAAACCCATAAATACTATCTTGAATTCACTGGATATGAGGTAGATACACATATAACTAATTATCTATTTGCCATGCTCTTCTTTGCTTTTCCAATGTCCTTACATAGCTGTGTTGCTGTGCAGAGGAAAAAATAAATAAGTAAAATACAGTACTGGTACAATATTTTCATTTTGAGTGATGTACAGCAGATGGCGCTTTTCTTGCTTCAACTGATTCCCAAAGAGCTTCCACAGAAGGAAAATGTGCCTTATGGTTGTTTTTTCTTACTTAAAACTTCTCCACAAGATGGCAGCAAACCGAATTTAAAATTCATTAATTGTAATAACAAGATTGAGCCAATTTGAATTTCTCCCAGATTTTAAATCTGTAAACAACTTAAAAATCAACAACAGTTAAATTAGTTCTCTAATGAAAACAGCTGTTTATAACCAGATTGCACCAGTATGAAAAATAAATGATACGCTAATCATAACTCAACCTACAAGTAAGAGTAAAACATGGTATTCAGTGAGTAAAATCAACAATAACATCAATAAATAGAGTTTTAACTAATACCAAATATGCTAATTATTATTTCAATCAAGTTTTTGGGTCAAGAACTAATGTACCATACAATCTTACAAGAAAACTGACGCACACAGAAACTATTCATTACCACACCTCTAAAATGTTCTAAAATGATCAGTTATATTTTTGTGGTTGCCATGAATTCCCAACAGGGACGCAACAATGCTGGGAAAATCCAAGTTCACAAATGCATATGAACAGAAATGAATGATCAAGTCATTAAAGAAATTAATGGGGAAAATGACAAAACAGCAGATTTTTACAGGACCATTAACAGAAGCACACATATCTTTCAGATTCTTGCCATCAGAAGTTAACTACAAATAAATGATCTTTGTTTTTGTTTTCAATTACATGTAAGTAAGTACTCTGCCAATTCTCCTATAAGAAGGCAAAACAAAAATCTCAGAGTCCAGCACATCTGTATCAATACGCTCATGGTTTGAGAGAAGATAGGTGGAGGTTGATTTGCTCATGGTCCGAATTCCCTTACTTTAGGAATATAGCTAGAGCTATAAACTTTTTGTCTTCAGTTGAACCCCTCTCTCCCTGGGGAATCTTTATTTCTGTATTAAACAGAAGAAAGAGTTATTGGGTTGGGTTTCTTCATTTACACTTTATACAATAGTGGTCAAAATCTTACCAATGTAAATTTAAGCAGAGGAAGCTGGCTGAAGTCATCAACGGGGCTGGTACAATTTGATTTAAATGGAAAGCTTCCTTCTTAATATTCATTTTTAGACTGTTCATTGCTTGTTTCATTGACTTTTTAAAGTAACCTCTGTAGTCCATCAAAATATTGTTTGCATATCAGATTTTGTTGCTATATCCCCTTATTGACAATGATACTGAGAGACTTTGCTCGTTGTTCACAAACTTTTTTGTTTTTAAAGAAATTTTTTTTTGGCAAAAGCTTTGCTTGCCATTCCTATGATTGGTTGCTGGGGTGGCAGCTTTGTAAACTAAACAACTATGATCACACAACCTAAATGATCACACAACCCAGAGACCTTTGGGTGCTGTGGGCGGCACATAAATTAATAAATAAATAAATAACGTGAATGGAGCCATTTTTTTTGGCTGAGGACTGGTGATAAGGCTGCAACTCTGTGCTTTGGCCCCCCTACTGAACTCGGTGTACAGTACCTCTGCCCTAATTCATGTGAAATCAGTTTACACGAAACAATCCTAGGCAAAGGAAAAGTACAGCAGAATTATTTGGCCCAGACCTCACTTCACGGGAGGGAGGGGAGCTCACCGCAGCCTTATTGTTCTGCATTCTGCCAAAAATATATATATTACATGCCATTCTTTATATTAACATAGCTTGTTCCTCTTCCAAAACAACGAGAAGGCTTCAGACTGTGAAATAGCCCTAGGCTCCTCTGAAGTCTGGCAGGGCCTGATCCTAGTCACTCTTAGGATCCAGTGGTATAATTCTTATCAGGGAAGGAGTCCAAGGTGAGAAAAACTGCACATTTCCATCCGAGTCTTTTCACATGTACTGTAATTCAACGGTACATAAGGATTTCCTGTCATTAAAACGGAAGCGTATAGACCGAGCAGTGGAGTCGCTACCGCGGCGAAAGTGCTGCGGCGAATTAGCGGCCTAGTTTTGCCCAGACCCCGGAAGTAGGAAGCCAAGGGCCCAGCCGCTTGACTCGCGTACACAGGAGGCGCCTTCCCACGTCCGCCGCCTCCGTCTTTCCAGTCCTGGGGAAGTCTTCTGAGTGGTTCATGGGGCAAGGAGAAGGAGGGCGTCCGCGGGATTGAAGAGCTGAGGTGGAGGATGGCGGGTTGTGTCACCCTGGGGAGCGGTTATGACGTCCAGATACTGTATAGGAGAGAAATGTGGGGAAGTGGGGTCGTCCGGAAGGTTTAAAGACACGTCGCAGGTCGGCTGCTGTCATTGGAAGGGGAGCTTGGGGTGTTTCGGGCAGAAGTCCAAGCACTGGCAGCTCGAGTAGTTTCTAGCTGCTGCCTTTTGAGTTGTGCCACCAATCCTGTGCTCTCTTACTTGGAAGCAGATTAAGCCCCATTGAACTGAATGAGATTGTGGATGTATAGGGCTGGAGGTAGGAGAGAGAAATGGCATGGGGGAGGGAAAGGGAATTAAAAAAAAATACAAGCCCCATACTGTTTCTTAGACTAGCAGTGGTTTGGTCTACAGGAAGAAGAGACTGTTTTAGATAGTAACCTAAATTTCAGAAACTGGCCCCAAACTAGGAGTTTTTTTTTAATATAGTTCATTTAGAGAAAAATCTGACAACAGCTGGTGGTCCAGAATAGTGTTGTGTTTTGAGAAAAAATTCATTAAGCTTATAGCATCTAACAGTGCTACATTGTGCAGGCACTTATGGTTAATGGGCTAGGTGTGTTACTGGTTTCATGCTGGGTAACAAATTTGTGTAACTGCTAAATCACATGAATTACACCAGGATTTTTCAGCAGATTGTAGGACTTGCCACTGGCTTTTGCAGAAGTGCATAAAGCAAAATAGTTTTGATAGTGAGATGAATATGTGGTTTTAAGACCTACTTTAAACATACTTTTGTTTGTTAGCATTTTGGGGTGGATACTTGTCTTAAAATTTGCATGAATTAAAGTTTACTTGTGGAAAACTTATGTCCATATTAGTATATTTCATTATTTATTTGTTTCTTTGCTTGACTTCTATACCGCCTATCTGGCTATGATGCCACTCTGGGTGGTTTACAAGAAAAAATTAAGACACAAAATAAAGGCTGTATACAAGTATGGTTAAGTGTTGGAGTTTAGGTAAGGGATGTAATGCAGATTAATTACAAATTATGAAAGAAAAAGAATTGGGAGGGATACATCCTAATGCAGGAATAGGAATCCTTTTTAAACCTAGGGATCACATTTCAATTTGGAAAGATTGTGGCAATTGCATTCTACAATTGTTACTATTTTGTCCAGTGCAACAGCTTTGAGGCATGTTTAATTTTCTTGTGGTGTAAAACACAAGGCTGTGTTGTGAAAATTCTTACTGGCCTGCAAGTTAGACTTCTTGCTTTGAGGAAATTCTTTCTGGTCTTTAAATACCTGTCAGTTCTCACAGAACATCTGTCAGCCTGATTATGCTTTTGGGCTGCAGATTCTCATTCTCCACCCTAACATTGTCATTGCTTGCAAAAGTTCTGTTTCTGCCATGCCTGTTACTGATGCAGTGTTTGGCATTCTCATCTGCACACAATGTCCTTTTTACTGTAGGCATCATATTTTTCTTCATCCATATGCAAGTTGTACAAATATTTTCATATCCCTTGTATATCAGTGTAGTTGCATTGTCTTAAATGGCTGCAAGAGTGGGCCATCCTATTTTGTTGCAAAACTACATGTTACGACACAGAGCCTCGGATTAGAAACTGTGGAACTAGACTGCAAGTCAGCAAAGTCTTCAGAGATCAGGGACTACGAAAGAGATTTGCAAGGCCCATTCCAAATTTGAGACTGGACTAGATAGGCCTTCAGTATAACTCAGCATGGCTCTTAGATATGTCATGCATTCAAATGTAGATTTTTGAATTGTTCCTTTAAGGCTGTGAATTGCACACTCCGCTAAACAGAATAGACCTTAGAGTGGGTAAACATGCATAGGATTGGACTGTAATTATTTTAAAAGAGTTGCAACAAATCCAGGATTATCCTGCTTTTGTTTTAACCATTGATTTTAGAAATACATATTGGAAATGGTTGGTGGAGAGGTTATCAACAAAATAGAAGGAGCAGATATGATCGAATATTACTAACTGACAGTTTGGATGAGTTGCTAATTGTCCATTTGCAGGTCTGTGAAATCACTGGGATAAATAAGGAACATTGTCTTAATATGAATGTAAAGAAAACCAAGTTCATAGTAATCAGTAAAAAGCAAGCAACTCAATTATACATTATATCTATCCTCAGCCCTACTTGCTGCTGGTATACTATTGTAGACTTTGATGTGACCTACTATACTGTAAAAAGATAGAAGTATTTGAAACCTGGATTTATCACTGGATGCTAAGAATTTTTAAAGAGGATGCCAATAATAATAATAATAATAATAGTGTGTCATCAAGTCAGTTCTGACTTATGGCAACCCTTTTCTGGGTTTTCTAGGTAGGGAGTACTCAGAATGGTTTACCGTTCCCTTCTTCTGGGGACATCCTTGGACTGTGCAGCTTGTCCAAAGCAATATGGGCTGGAACACAAATTGTTCTGAGACACAGAAGGCTAGAGACCAAGAAATAATTAAACAGACTGCAGGAAAGTAGAATACTTCAGTCACCAAGCCCTTTGGATATAATTCTATAGTATATGAAATGGAAGTAGATTTGATGTACAGACCGGATGTAAGGCCTACATATTCTCTCACTATCTCATGAGTAAAGGAAAGTGCAAGACCTTTAATCTTACATATGTTCCTTGTACCCCTAGCTCGCATAGGTGAGATCTTCATTTGTAAAAACTGGGTATAAATAAAACTTCATAGACATCAGTGGAACCTTTTTGTGTGCCACCAACTGAACATCATACTCTCAGGTTTTCCATATCTTTTGGGTTTCCCTTAATGGCATAATTGGGTGTAGGTTTACTTTTTAGTTTGGCTGGGAGCTTGCAAAATTAAAGTAAGTGTCTACTTAGTCCAGCATTTAATGTGTGGTTTCCAGGAGGTCTGGGGGAAGAGCAACATCTCTTCCTTGTTGTTTGATTCCCATCAATTGATATTCACAGATGTGAAACAGCTGCAGAGTTTGGGGTTGCATCTAAATCTGTATGAAAAAAATTGGAATGGAAAGCAAAGCTAGTTTATTCTCTGCCAATACCATTTGTTCTGTGTAAATATAAGAAGCAATGTGGTATTATTAAATTATATAGGATCTATTGCTTGTTTAATGGAAATAAATAAAATTGGCCCGTTTTAGAAAGTTAGAAATTCAGGCATCTGCTTCTCTAAAACCACATTGTTGTCATGTTTGAATTAGCTATGTGTGTCTTTGTAGCCAGTTTTTGTGATCACAATGCCAAAAAAGGTGCTTAGAATGGGGATTTGGATGTCCCCTTTCACCATTTTATTTGAGGCACTGAACTATTTTCTTGGTTAATTCTTTTTAATGTCCTTTTTAGGTTTTTTTCACCAAACGGCATGGAGCTTTCTGCCAGTGAACTCAGCATTTATGATAAACTCTCTGAGACCATTGACTTGGTGAGGCAGACTGGTTATCAGTGTGGTATGTCGGAAAAAGCCATTGAGAAATTCATCAGGCAGCTCTTGGAAAAAAATGAGCCCCAAAGAGGACCCCCACGTTATCCTCTCTTGATGTTTCTATATAAGGTAAAGTATTTATAATAACCTTGTGGCTTCTCATGTCCTTACAGAAGGGGAAGGGAACAGGAACATGTGACTGGGCCAATATAGCTGGACGGCACCTCCCATATTACCTTAGCAATCATAGCCAGCCATGAGGGCATTGCAATCCAGTTACATCTGGAGGATCACGTGTTTCCCAGTCTTGCAGAAAAAAAGTGCATTGTAGTTTGAGATGAGCGCAATCACAGTATGAGAGGTTATATGACATTGGGGATAATATATAAGATTGTGCATAATGCAATTTGAACAGTTCTTTCAGTTGGTTTATTATATATGGGAAATATTGTCTTGTAGCTGGGGACTTCCACGAAAATAAGCCCTAACCTGAAAATAAGCCCTAGTATGATTTTTCAAGATGCTCGTAAGATAAGCCCTACCTCAAAAATAAGCCCCAGTTAAGTGAAACCTTGCCCTCCACCATTGTGCAGCAACCAGAAGATGACATGACTGTGTTTGAATAAATGTAAATTGTTGTACATGAAAAAAATAAAACATCCCCTGAAAATAAGCCCTAATGCATTTTTAGAACAAAAATTATAAGACCCGGTCTTATTTTCGGGGAAACACGGTAAGAACTTCTAAATAAAAAAATTCAAAATTTGTAAGATAATATGATAAATAATGGCTTTGACTGCAACAAGAACTTGAGTGATTCTTTTTATATTGTGGAGGAAATGTTGGAAAGAATTGCCACACAGCAGAAAGGCTTTTGATCTCTGGTTGCTTGATCTACAGTGGTGCCTTGACTTATGAAGGTCTTGACTTGCAACCAATTTGAGTTATGACCAGCTCCGGCCGCAAAATTTGGCTTTGACTTGTGACTGGAGCTTTGAGATACGACTGGAAAAAAGGCAAGGAATTTAAACTGCTAACATTGGATTTGAGCGAACAGGAAGAGGGAAGGGCATTGGAGGGGGCAGCCATTGAGGTGGTGCTGGGTAGGGGAAGGAATGACGGTGGTGGTAGAACATGCCCACATAGGAGAAGAGAGATTAGATATCTTACATCTATCCCCTCTTCTAGTCCTACCCCCAAGCAGATGGTATCAGATGACCATATCAGCAAATCCTCGAGCCACATGGTGCTGTTGATGAATGCCAGGTCAGTACAAAATAAGACTGCCCTCATCCATGATGTAATTCTGGATGAGGGTGCTGACCTGGTATTCATTACTGAGACCTGGGTGGGAGAGGAGGGTGGTGTTCCCCTCTCCCAGCTGTGTCTGCCTGGGGACTCGGTCCAGCACCAATGTTGCTCGGAGGGTTGGGGAGGGGGAGTTGCTATAGTCTATAGGAGTTCTATCTCCTTGACCAGGCTTCCTATCCCTTTGAGAGGAGGTCTTGAGGGCCAGTATTGTGTGTTGGGTTTGCAAGACAGATTAGGGATTCTGTTGGTGTACTGCCCACCCTGCTGCGTACCAACAGTCTCCCTGCCTGAGCTCATGGAGCTAGTCTCAGACCTGGTGTTGAAGATTCCCAGGCTGTTGGTGCTGGGGGACCTCAACATTCATGCCGAGGCTTCCTTGACTGGGGCGGCTTAGGACTTCATGGCCGCCATGACAACCATGAGGCTGTCTCAATGTGTCATCGGCCTGACACATGAGAAGGGCCATACCTTGGACCTGGTTTTCCCAACGGGACTGGGAGATGGTGGTTTGGATGTGGAGGGGCTGGTTGTGACTCCATTGTCATGGTCAGACCACTTCCTGGTCTAGTCTATTAGCTTCTTCTTCACTCTGCAAGGGTGGGGGATCCATTAAGATGATCCGCCCTTGGAGACTACTGGATCCAGATGGTTTCCTGGATGCTCTGGGGGATTATCCGTTTGATATGGTCGGCGCTTTTGTCAAAGCTCAGGTGACCCTATGGAATAGGGAGATGACCTGGGCAGTTGACATGATTGTGCCTAAGCACCCTCTCCCTGCATGCAGAGCCCAGACAGCTCCTTGATATACTTCTGAACTGCGGGCGATGAAGCGAGAGAGGAGACGGCTGGAGCACAGGTGGAGGAAATCCTGCTGGGAGGCCAATTGAACACGACTTAGAGCCCATTATCAGGCCTATTTCGTGGCAATACGGCTGGCGAAACGACATTATTTCTCCAGCCATATTGCTTCCTCAGAATGTCATCCAGCAGAGCTGTTTTGGGTGGTCCAGGATCTACTTCAACCGGGAAATCCGGTGGAGGTCCCAGACGGCTCATCAGCTTGCTATGATGGGTTTGCCATTCATTTTGAGGGGGAAATCGCTCAGATTCGCAGTGGGTTGGACTCCACCATTACTGCAAAATCAGAGGATGTGTCCAGTGTGCCATGCTTAGGTCAAGTATTAATGGATGAGTTTCAGTTGTTGAGATCTGAGGATGTGGACAGGGTGCTTGGATCTGTCCGTTCTACCACCACTCCACTCAACCTTTGCCCATCTTGGCTAATTGGAAGATCTACCAGGGGGGTTTGCACTTGGGTCCAGGAGACCGTGAATGCCTCTTTGAGAGAGGGAGTGGTCCCTACCACCTTGAAAGAGGCGGTAATTAGTCCACTCCTTAAAAAGCCTAGCCTAGATCCAAGGCTGTTGGTTAACTACCGACCAGTGGCGAACCTCCCTTATTTGGGCAAATTGTTGGAGCAGGTTGTGGCCGGGCAACTACAGGCGCTGCTGAATAAAATGGATTTTCTGGATCCATTTCAATTGGGTTTCAGGCCGGGTTTTGGTATGGAGACTGCCTTGGTCGCCTTGTACAATGACCTTTGCCGGGAGAGAGACAGGGGGAGTGTGACCCTGTTGATACGGGCTTTTGGCACCATTGATCATGGTGTCTTCTGGATAGGCTGGCTGGGTTGGGAGTTGGGGACACCACTTTACGGGGGTTCCGTTCCTTCCTAGCTGACCATGTCCAGAGGGACGTTCTGGGGGACTGTTGCTCCGCCCCATGGTGTTTATGTCATGGGGTTCCTCAGGGCTCGATACTGTCCCTCATGCTGTTTAACATCTACATGAAACCGCTGGGAGAGGTTTGGGCTGAGGAGGCAGCAATATGCTAATGATACTCAGCTCTACCTCTCATTTTCCACCAATCCAGGTTAGGCGGTTTCTGTGCTGAACTCGTGTCTGGACCTCATAATGGACTGGATGAGGGTTAATAAATTGAAACTCAATCCAGACAAGACTGAAGTGCTGTTAGTGGGTGCTTCGCCGGACAGGGTGGAGGGTCATTTCCCTGCCCTGCATGGGGTTACACTCCCCCTAAGGGACAGGGTCCGCAGCTTGGGGATGCTCCTGGACCCCAATCTACTGGAAGCCCAGGTGGACTCAATGGCCAGAGGTGCCTTCCTTCAGCTTGCGGGAATTATACCAGTTACGGCCCTACCTAGACAAGCGGAGTCTGATGACAGTTACACACGCACTGGTAACATCTTGCATAGATTACTGCAATGCGCTCTACGTGGGGCTGCCTTTGAAGACAGTCTGGCCACTGCAACTGGTCCAGAATCGAGCTGCATGGCTATGGAAGGGAAGTTGAGGGAAATGCTGGCCTTGGCAGCACCCACTGGCATGCAGCACTTGACCCAACACTCACTTCTGCATGTGGCTCTTGGGGGCAGAAAGGCTGCCCATGCCTCTTCTAAATCCTTGTTTTGTGAGCTTTTATGTGTAAGTGACTGATCTCGGTAAACTGTAAGTAATACACATACATATGCAAACCTTAAAAAGGAGAAGTTCTCATGTAGCTGTTTATTGTAATCAGAAATTGATCTAGTGCTTGTCTTCTTTTGCAGGGCCTGGTCACCCTGGGGTTAGTTTTATTAACTGCATACTTCATGATCCAGCCATACACCCTTTCACCACCTGAAGCTACACTCTCCAGAACCCATGCGTGGGGCTCCCTCATTCGTCACATCCGACTGCTACCTCTGCCCATTACCAAGAAGTATATGCTGGAGAGTAAGAAAATTATGCATCTACTTAGTGATAACTGACATACAGACGTGTGGGGCATTGGTGGTGGCACCAATGAAAGATACTAATTGACTTAAGAGAATAATAGTCAGTGATGATTCCTGTATTCAGTGTAAAATCACATTTCTGTAAGGAGCAAAATGGGAACTGCCACTAATTTGCATTAACATCTGCCTGAGTAAGCACTAATTGACCTCCATATGCTAAAAGGCTTTATTTTGTCTTTCTAACAAAGCTTAGCAAATTGGCTTCTGTGAGCACATCAGCACATTGCAATGTGGTTGCCTGCAAGCATATCCTTCCCAATCCTGAATTTGTTTTTTGGATCAGTCGTAAACAAGGAGAGATAGAAATTAGCCTTATAAAGGATAATTTAAACAGAACATGTATAGGTTTATTGGTAAGTTAGTGACTTTGCTGATCACTGATTTTATGAGACTGAGTTATTTAATCAGTTTCTACCTAGTAAAATTTTTCTGGGCAAATTTTTTACTTTTGTGTTAAAAAGAAGGATTCCAGACTAGTCAAATATGATTACATCTTATAAATACTTTCCTGGGAAATATTCAGTAAAGATATGGACTTTATTAGTGAAATTTTCTTGCAGTCCCAGTAAGTCTCTCTTCTCAGGATTAACATATTTCAGAGCAGGATTTCCAGTTCCTTCTTCTCCCCTTCCCAAGATCATCTGCCTGCATGACTGATTGGCAAGTGAAGATTTTCCTGGCATGTGTTACTTATAACACAGCTTTTTAAAAAATTGGCAAATCTGTCCAGAGTTTTAACTGAACTCAGTGAGGTTACAATCATTGTTTTTAGCAAGTGAATCAGGCGTATAGTCTTTCTGGATGGCTTCTTCAGCGTGCAGATAACCTGGGTTTTTATCTCCCATATCAAGCACATAAGCATAAATAACACTAATGTTAAGTGCTGTGAAATGATTTGTATACTGATACAAAAATTTAGGGTACTCAGGCAGTGTGTGCTAACATATAAATTGTTCACTTCTTGTAGATTTGTTGTCTTGCCCGATTTGAGCATTTCAACAGAATGAAAACGCATAGGAACAGGGCCTGGCTGACAGATACTAGTGACATTATGGAGACAGAGAGAGTTTCCTTTGTTCATTTTTGTGTGTGTGTGTGTGGATATGATTGAAATGAGCAATTCAGGCCTCTGTTAGTGAAAGGGAGGAAGGTACTTTTGGGAGATTCAGTAGGCCTCTTCTGCCAAAAGAAGAGATCACAGCTGCCCCAAACACTTCCTTTGAAAACCTAGCCTAAGAGAAGCTATAGGGCACTAAAAATGTAACAAAAGTGCATCCCATACTGGATGTGAGGGGCTTTTTAGAGAAATAATTTATTGGAGGCTGGAGGCTGTACCTGTAAAAGCTGTGTGGGTAGCCTCTTCAGATTCCCATACCTTGTGTTTTTGTTTTTGGTGGTACTCCTCCACCCCACCCCACCCCTGTAAAGGTGGCTCTGGTGCCCTGGCTAATCCCATGCAACAGTATTAGTTTTGCACTGCAGTCAGGGAATTTAGGACAAAAGAGTCCTCCCTCCCTTGCTGTTAGTACCAGAATCAGCTTTCCTCCTCCTCCTTTCGGTATCTCCAGTATTGCCCTAGCAAAATAGATCAGTCAAATCTGTTAAAGTTCTGGGTAACTGTGAAACCACCTAATTTAGTCACCAAATTAATTGTTCTGTTAAAAGTTCATACAGTAACCTAAGTATTTTAGAAATAATTTGTTATTAATTTGTTGATTCCAATACAGGTATTATTTATTTGCAGATCTGTCAGCTTCTTACTGACATGCTTTGCAGGCCACTGATGGATTTGCATCAGTGACCTCTGCATTTTTTAAAAAAACATAATGCTTTCTGTCATTTGTCAGCAGCTGCAAGTACGGTTGTTTTCTTGCCATTGGGAGTAATATCTGGGCTCTGTCCAGATTATCAGAAAGAAGGCACAATTGTGTAATGGCTGAAGGAGGATCACCCTTTGGCCTAATTTTAGTTAGTGGGATATTTCTGTGTACTTTTGCCACATCTCAGCCAAAGTGCTGATAGCACATTTTTCTGGAAGAAGGAATCATGGTTGTCATAGTCCAAAATTGCTTGTGAAATATTTGGTTAGTCTCAGTCATTCAGAGTTTCAGAATCAGAAAGGGAGCTTACATGGAAACCTTGTTTTATTTTACAAGATGGAGCTATCCTTCTTTCATAGATTTAAATTTATTTAAAACATGGTGAATTACATACGTGGGTGCTGAATGAAACCCATGGCCTAATTTTAGTTAGTTTGATATTTCTGTGTACTTTTGCCACATCTCAGCCAAAGTGCTGATAGCACATTTTTCTGGAAGAAGGAATCATGGTTGTCATAGTCCAAAATTACTTGTGAAATATTTGGTTAGTCTCACTCATTCAGAGTTTCAGAATCAGAAAGGGAGCTTACATGGAAACCTTGTTTTATTTTACAAGCTGGAGCTATCCTTCTTTCATAGATTTAAATTTATTTAAAACATGGTGAATTACATACATGGGTGCCGAATGAAACCCAAAGATAAATAGAGTTATATGACGAAATGATTGCCCTCAGAAACAGCATGAATTGTAGTCTGAAGTCCTCTTTTATTCTTGTGAAGGAGCTTTATTTATTTTATTTGAACACTGCTTTTCTACAAAATACTGGGGCTCTAACTGGCATACAATTCAATTAAAATACAATGAATAAATAATACATTATGAATGTATAAATGTAATTAAATCATTTACCACAAAATTCAGTTAAAGAGCATTTGAAAACATCTTGGTTAAAAATAATAAGTCCAATAAAAAACAGAAAAGTGCAACCACATGCTTTAAAGTCCCTGCTCATAGTGGACAAAAGGCCTGCCTAAGTGGGAAATTTGTTTGCTGGCAGATGTTACAAAGTTCAGGAGAAGATGAAAGAGAACGGTGTGGTCCTTTCAAAATACATTGTAGGAATAGGTTATATCTTGATTGGAACACTAAAAAAAAATCAAATTGCAAGCTTTCATACACGTGTCTTGCGAATAGTACAGAAAATCTTCCATCAGGGAACTGATGCCGTTAAATTTTAGTTTATCCACTAAGCAGATCCAATTGGAACCAGATTAAAGCTAAATTAATATATTACCTAGTGTTTAGAAGTACAGTAGTGCCTCGGTTTACAAAATTAATTTGTCATCTGGGACGTTACAAAAATGAGGAAATTACGTAAACCAGAATACGGATTGCCGTAGCAATGGGGGCGGCGCTAGAAACCTCCAGGTGCGATACGTCCTTTTCGTACAATGAATCCCCCCCCCAAAAAAAACCATAAACCGAGGCATTATTTCTTGTGGATTTTGGTTCGTAAACCGAAAATGATGTAAACCAAGGTGTACGTAAACCGAGGTACTTTTTCCGAGGTGGGTGTTTCCTCCAGTTTACAGTCAGTTTGCATTTGCTTTGCTGATATTAAGAGTCCATGTTGTCTTCTTGGTGGTGCAGAGTGATGGTGGCCTTTTCTGGCATCTTAATAGTTCTCTTTGATTTTTTTGGAACTATGAAGATATCAGAAAAGGCTCTGTCTAGTTGGTAAACTAAATTTTAACTCTGATTCCTTGATGGATGATTCTGGGTGTTTTTTCTTCCCCTGTTCCCCAGCAAATAAAAACTCATCGTTTCAAAAGAAGGCTGTATGTGGGAACCAGAGTTCCCTCTAATTTTCTGCCATGGCCAGAATGAAATGAGCGGCAACACTGGCTGTGGGTGCATGGCACTGATGCAGCACTGTGCACTTGTGTGCCCACACAGCTTAGAGACAACGTTGGTGGGAATGCATGTATATATATTGTCTGTGTTTCTCTGTTTGAGGAGTTGAGGTGTGATATCCAATCAACAGCTACTGGAAGTATAGTTTGTAAACCACAACTCCAATACAGCCTGCGTTTTTTCTAATCAGCCTCTAAGAAACAAGCTTGGCACAACCCTCTACCATGAATTTTTGGGACTCTCATTTGCATAATTTTTCTCCACTATCCACAGCCATCGGTGTATGCCTGAGGAAGTGAACTTTGGTCCATGAAAGCTTACAGACTATTTGATTTTTAAGTGGTCCAGTAAAGATTTAAGGAGGTAGCCAACTTAACCTCCGCAATTTGGGAAAGGCCACCAAAGAGCCTTCTCTCATGTATATACTGAACATGCCTCTGAGGTGCTGGAAGAGAGAAGGGCTTTTTCTCAAATCCTGGATTGACTTGTATGGGACAATGTAGTCTTTCAGGAGCTTTCTTTTTAATTTGATAGTATACATAGTTACACCAACTGTTCATTCCTGCCATGTCTCTGAATTCCTTTGGTGAAGCAAATATAGGGCCAAAATTAATATATATTTTGACATGTATTTTCTTCTCTGAGGTTACTTTGGAAACCAGAAATGGGATTGTGGAAAGGAACAGTGTAGATTCCTAGCAAAAAGGCTCAGATATTTCCAGAGGTGCATGAATTAAGCTTCCTAGAGAAAGTGTCAATGCAGCATTTTCATATAATATATTCAAAGATTCCTTGTTAGCAACAAATTGCCTGGAGGAAAATGGTTGATAGAAGCAGCCTTCTTGCATTTCAGAAACTTGAACTGTACCTCCAGTACTTAATTTATGAACAAGGGTGCGGTCAGTCAAATCTGTTCATCTGGGAATGTTTGTAGAACATCTCCCCTGCCTGCCCCCCCCCCTTTGGCAGTCTAGTTTAGCCTGAGGCATGTTTGACTTTCAGCCAGCTTCCAGGGTCCTTTCATATGAAATCCATTGGATAGTTTCACATGGGTCTGTTGTAAAACATGCACAGAGATTCCCGGTATAGATTGCAGTGTTCCTTCTGAGCTCCACCTAAAAAAATATTGGTGCCTCAAGAGGATGCTGTCCATTTACGTCAATTCAGATGCAGTGTCTTCTCACCATTGTAGAGTGAACTATA